AATGATGCAGAAAATCGTTAACGTCTAGACTTCACAACTCCACTCTACTAACTAGTTATCCAGCATTAAAAAAATATTATAAAACGAATAAGACATATTAGGAAATGTATCCAATCCAATCCATTCTTAAGTTAAGTATTAGATTGATTAAGTTTCGACACGATTGATTGATCGACACCTTAGATTGACAAACAAAGAAATCGTTCTTTTGTTATCTAACAGCGTAAAAAATGTATCTATTAGTGAAATATTGAATTGAATAGATGGAGAAGCAGGTTATGGGCATAGTCCAAGATTTCGATGGATTCCGATGTGCGTGAAATTCACAAATTGTGAAATTGACATTCACGCAGGTAGAAAATCATCAAGATGAATATTTAAATTTAAAAATAGATTTATGTTCGGATAAAAAGTTGTGCGTAACTAATTTTCAAAAGAAACGAAATCTGTAGTAAATCTTCCGTGAAGTATAATGAATATTCAGTAATTCAGTATTATTTTGTAACAAGTGTAAAAAATGCAATTTTAGACACGCAAAAGTGAAATATTGTTCAATAACCGTAAATGTTTATAAAATAATATATGTAATTATTTGTTATGTTATAATTGTGGTGAAGAATGTTAAAAATGACTTTTTACACACAAGTGCATAAAACTGTCATTTTACACACTGGAAAAATTATATTAAGATAAGAAAAGTTGTATTAAGTAAAGAAATCAAGGTATAAAAAATCAAGTGAATTTAACGTAAACTTTTTTTTAATTATTTTGGAACAAGTGTATAAAATGTAATTTTAAACACGAAAAATAAAAATATTCTTCAATAACCAGCAAAATTCACAAGATAAATAATTATATTAATTTTCATGTTATAATACCGATAAAAAATACCAAAAACGATTTTTTTCGCACAAGTGCCTAAAACTACCATTTTCCACACTAAAAAAATTTATATTAAGTTATTTAAAAGTTGATTAAAGAAATCAACAAATCATCAACTTTGGTAGCGAATCTAAATAATTTTACAACGCGTTGAAATAATTTCGTTTCGTGCCGATAATAGTCCTATAATTTCCTTTCTTCTGAATCATCTAAACGTCTAAAAGTCTACACATTCCTACAAATTTCACGCGCAATGTGATACTAAAACACTGACCGCTCGGGTGATGGCGATATTAGTCTAATTCGATGTCCGAAATCCGAAATGCGTGTCTGAGGAATGACGTGCGACGCGATAATTCACGCAATTCACGCGAAGAGTGTGAAACGCTTCGATGCGATAATTGCGACGCCCGCAGGGTGCGTGCAGTGAATAATAGGAACAAATTCTATGAAAAATTATTTAGTTTAAATACTTTTCAACACATCGGTTTTTATGTTATTATTGGTATTATAAAAAAAAGTAATTGAAATGTATTGGAATTGGGTTTTTATACGGTTTAGGAGAAAATAGAGAATTATGTATTTGAATACTATACTTTATTCACTAAAATAAAAAATTTCATTATTTTTCATTTTATTTGTTGTTTCTTTGAATAAATTAATTATTTACTGAAATAATTAAAAATCTAATTAAAAATTGCTTTGTATTCCTATGTTCGGTACTTGTACCGCAAGTCAAATATAGATTACTGTTAGGGGAAGTGACGTCAATGTTGAGTTCTTTATTCTGATTGGGTGAAAATAAAAACAATTTCACAATTTCTAAACTTTATAATTTTTAAAACGTGTATAATGTATAGTATTGCATATAAATATTATACACTAGTAAAATAATCAATATTAACATAATTTCCAGTAAAAGTGAACATGCAAAACTTGTGTGTAACTATCCATAACTTTGCATAACCAGAAAGTAACTTCTAATAACAGTACAATCGAATTAAAACCGAACCGAAGCTAATGTTAGCTAAACTCGACGCTAATTAATCGCACTTGCGCAATCGATAACATAACATGACTTATAAGACATCCATGCATATTCTAATAGATGTGAAATTAAAATTAACTTTGAATTTGTTTAATTACTGATTGATTGATTGACAATTGTTTGAAATTAGCCAAACTATTCGACTTATTTTAGTACCAGATGTAAATACTTGTATGTAACCACTTTCTAATATGTATTAAAAAGTTTATTGTGGGTTTTAAATAAAACACTTGCGACAAGAGTAATAAGTCAGTAATGAATGACATTAAGATTCTCGTCATATGTATGTAAGTACGAGTATTACATGAAGATTGAGTAAAGATTAAATAGACAAAAAAAAACGAACGTTTTGTTTGAGTAAGCGCTGAGAATTTTGCCAAAATTTATACGAAATGTTAACGTATTTGTTAACATAAAGATACAGATTAAAACAATTAAATTTTGTTAATAAAAGAACAAAATGAGAAGAAAAAAATTAAAAGAATCTCAAGTTGGAATGGCAATAACTGAATTCCTGTATGTTCGGTACTTATATCGCAACTCAAATATAGATTACTTGGACACATTAAAAAATTATTTTGCTATACTTTGTATAAAAATTAAATAATATGTTAGCGTTTTTATATTCTGTGTGACACTGTTAAAAGATAAGCTTTTTATGTGACGAAACTTTCCTCAGATAACAATCCCTTTCTTTTTAATATAAACCGCCGAAAAATTGTGAAATACTCGTCGGAAGATTCAGAGAAAGGTTGCAAAAGGTTGCACGATGACATCTTTACATGCCATCACTTTCCTAATCGCTTATAAATAGTCTATTCAAGCACTTTCGGAACTTCGGCTAAAAACACCTTAAAAAACTTTTACTTTTTTGATTAATACTCAAATTTATTTACGAGTAAATAAACACGAATTAATAAAAAATAATTTTTAAACATTTGTTGATAGATTGCCAAAAAATGAGCTGTCAAACACAATTAAAAGGAATGGCTTAACTTAAGTACAGGAAATAAATTTGTTTCACATCATCGTCTAAATTAAAACAAATTAAGATTTAGTTCATGTCATTAGTAAATTATATTTTGAAATTGTTTAGTTTTTGGTAAATAACATAAAAACGAATTGAGATATATTTATAATTCTTTTAAAAATAGATTCTGAGTTAAATTCTACGTCTATGTGAGCATAAATTTTACTAATCCAATTAATGCCTAAATAATTACAAACAATTAAAGTTGATATTTGTAAAATTTTACTCATTTTATCAAAAATGCTCTCTAATTTCTGATAAGGCAGTGTTATCATTAACATATTTATAAAATATGACATAGAATTTAATAATTAATAAATGAGTAAAGAAATCATCGAAATATCTCAATTAGTTTATGAGTTATTAACAAATTACTACAAACATACACTTTTTATTTTTTCCACCTACAACAAGCACAGCAACTATAACACTCATACCTAAACCGACTTAAGTAGGAAATGACAGAAGTCAGAACACATTGATCTAGAACCAAAATCTAAAGATTAAACTAACAGATTAACACAACTAGCACCACAGCGTTACCTGGCTCAAGATTGAACTCATAAGTTAAAGCCAGGTAAGGAAGTGTAAGACTTAAGTAAGTTCACTATTATATATGCGCACTGCGCAATCATCACAGATGCTTTATCTCGATAACACCAAAACATTAATATTACTTATTGTACGAGTGGAAGAGAAGTAACATGACTTGACTTACGTCAACTTAAAACTCAAGTAAAAAGAATGAGTCAGTAGCTGCTGAATTAGTTTAATAGTTTAATATTTAATTGTGACTTGGTCCAACGCGCAAGTAAGCAACATGCGTACGTGACTTAAGTCACCTTTACCTGGTTAAAAATGCCAATGTTTGCTCAACATTCGCACCGGAACAAAATGGAATTTTAAAGAACCCAGGAGACATGACTTAAGTTAAGTATACTTAAGTATATAAAAATTGATTTATTTTGTGGTTTTTATTGATTGAAAATTTGCGAACATCGCTATATAACCTTCAAAATATTCCTCAAAAAATTAATGTGACTTAAGTCACTTAAAAAGTCATCAACTTCAGTTGCACGTCACTTTCAGCCATAAAATCATTCAAAAATGTTTATTCATAAAAGTAAAAAGTGCGTACTAAATCCGAACGCATATTTCTTGGATTTTTTCCTGCGTGGTTGAGGAATTCACAAAACACGTTTTCTGGCTTTCTTAGCATTTATCATTTTTACGTCCAATTTCACCTAAACAGGTGATACCTATATAATTATACCACTTTTAAGAACAAATTTCACACACACGTACAAACACAAACCGGATCACTAGCCAAAGATGGAAGTAAATTAGAAAGAGAAACAAAAAAAAATCTACCAAAATTGTTGTTGCGTGATTTGCGTGATTCGCACCGCCGTGATTGGTCCAAACTCGCTCAGACTGTGTTTTATTGAGTAAGTTGTAGACACCATACGCCAATGGACGACTTCAAGTCTCCTAATTTCGGTTACCACTACTTAAGACATGATCTTTGATATCCTACTACTTAAACTTAAGTTTTCTCTTTACTTAACTTTATTTAAGTACTTCCTACACTTCCTATCCGAAAATTTCTCCTTACTTAAGATTAGCACTATCAGACTTAAGTCATGTATACTTAAGTCATGTTTACACAAATAGTTACATAAATATCTAAAATATGATTGTTATACCCATACTCGTAATAAAATTTTTAACTATCTTATCAGAGATGACTTAAGTCATGTTACTTAAACCTCTAAAATTTCATATTTCGTAAAAACTGATTGATGAATAAGCATGAGCATACACACAGGTGAATTTTAAGATGTCTCACATATGCCTTAACTTAAGTCAATCCGAGAACGCGTCGAGTGAAAGTTCGGCAAGGCCGAAGAAAATACCAACTACAAAACGTCCACACCAAAGCAGTTCCGCCTCAAGAGACGCAGAGAAATGGTGCTCCGACTGCGGCTGGCACACACCACTTAAGTCACTCCACGCAGACCACGCCATATTCGTATCGCATGCCAGACGCAAAAGTAGGGAAACCCGCAACTGCAAGAAACCGCGCGCGTTGTCAGTGCGCGAGCGCCGAGGCTCAACACATGTGACTTAAGTCACCTTCATCAAAAGTGACTTAACTTAAGTCAACACAAATCACACAATTACAATTAGAGTAAAGACTATGTGCACGACAGTGAATGATGATTGATGAAGTACTAATTGGCAAATTTAAGTTGACTTAAGTTTGAATTTGCGCGCAAATCGATTACGACTTAAATTAAGTGACTTAAATGACATAACATCCAAGGAGTAATAGTTTTAAATGTAATAAGTGCATTGGGGTAATCATCAAGTGATTGCGTTTGAAATTAAAATTTAATTGATCAAAGTTTTCCTTTGAAGTCAACGCGAAGAAGTCAACAAGTCATAAACTACGCTTTGAAGTGCAAACACGTACAAGGATTACAATACATTCAATATCAATCTATATAAATAAAAAGGTAAGAATAAAATTTTTATTAAAAATAATATTTGACGTGGGTTAATGTTAACATGAGTTTTTGACCGAATTGTTTAAAATTATTCCGTGTGCCACTTTTTAATATTCCTACTGTTTGCTGGCGCGCGCGTGAATAAAAAGAAGCGAATGATGAGTAGTAATAGATATGCGTAGATAGGAATTTAAATAAATTAATGAATTAGTGGGGTTTTAGTTGGATTTTCGGTGGGACACGTGCGCGGAAGATAAAAGCGGTTTATTATTTATGCGCGTGTGAATTGTTGAATAGTTAAAGAGGTTCGTTAAGAGGTGAAACAATCATGGGAAGAATAAAATTGGAAGTGGTGAGGAAGAATTATATACAGGGTGTTTAAATAATTAATATTTTATATTTTTTGAATTGAAATTTTTAAGTGGTTGAAATAATATTGTGTGTAATATATGCAAAAATTGTTGTTTTTTTTAATTATTAGGTTAAAAGTTTTGATTTTTTAAAATTAAAATTTGTGTAGTTTTTATTGATGATCATAAGCCACATGAGTTATGTACAACTTTTACTTAAAATTGATTGAAAATCCATAAAATAGACCGGAAATTAGACAGGAAGCGGATGTGCGTTGCCAATATTTACACTGCACTGATCGATTTTTACGAAAGATGATTAACGCACCGATATTACACCAGTTAAACGTAATTTTTATTGCTAGTTTTGCTTGAAAGAAGGAAAAAAAAAGCAGAAAGTGAAACTTTAAGTTTAAATTAAAAATGAAATTGGAATTGAATAAAAGAAATTGGTGTATTTGAGTGAGTCATATTAAAAGTAGTATTTACTTCAAATATTAGTGAATATTTTATACAGTTAAATATTAGTATGAATATTATAATATAAATATAAAATCCGGTGAAAATAGAGTCGAGGTAATTTTATTAGATATGAGTATTAATGGGAATTAAATTTAGTTTTTTTAATAATTACTCGAAAACGAATTAAGATAAATCAAAGATGCTTTTAATATTAAACTAAGAACAAAATTCAATGTTTAAATGTTCCAAACTTTTGTTAATACAAGTTTTGAATAAAAAGTTATTAATAGTTAAAGTTGATTAATAAAAATATTTTTTTAAATTGATACAAATTGTTCTGTAACTTTTGATTAAACATTATTTATTATCAATCAAATGTATACATAATTTTATTAAGAATTTATTGTTAAATAGATTTGAAAAGTAATTAATTATTTACTTAATGATTTGATTGTACTTCGTGTCAATAATAAATGAACACCAGAAATCTCAATTATCTACAAGTATCATTCATGTGCCTAGTAAAATCAACTATAAATCTAAAGAATAATTAATTAATTTTTCTATTTCATAATTTTTAATTAACATTCTTTGAAGTTTATTTCATTTATTATTTTGTCATTGTAGACGTGACATGTAATTTTAATTTATGAGTTATTTATTGTTTGAATTTGGAATGACTAGTAATTATAAATATTGGTTTAATAAAAAGCGTGGATTAGAAAATATTATTAAGCACACAAAACGAAAAAAAATCTACACTAAGCCAATAATAAATGCATTTACCAATAAAGATTTCTCCGATTAATTAACCAAATACCGTTTGTAGTTTTGTTACCGTGCGTGATAGATTCACAATTTTTATGATGGTATTAATCAAAACATCACGCACATGCAATTATCTATGGATTCATAAATAAATTATATTGAGATATCAATACATCGTTTTCTGTAAATGAAGATATTATATTTTTAAATATTTTCATAAAAATGTGTGAGAAATGCTTCAATATTGTTAGTTTATAGCTAATTACTCAATAACCAATAAAAGAATAAAAAATAATTTATTTTGAAACAAAAAAAGAATTACATTTAGTAATGTATTGTTAATCACTTTTATTGATATTTATTTTTTTTATAAAAGCAAATTTTAATTGCTTATAACTTTTTGTGCAATCATCCGATGTGTAGGATTTTTGCACATAATTTGCATAATTTCATTGCGAATCCTTCTTTAAAAGAATCATTTTAATACCATTAATAATTTTCGAGTAATTAATCAAAAAAATCACTTTTAAAAAAGGTGTGTTTTATACCAGTCCATAAATAAATACCATATACATTTACAATAACTGATAAGAAAGGTATTTTTTAATTGGAAGGTTATCTTTATGGTAATGTGAAGTATATAAATAAAGAAATAAATAAACCTGCTTTATGGTAATTTATATACGATAAAACGTTTATGCTGGTACGCGCACTCGTATCTAATCCATAGCAATCCTTTCACACTTTTTGCACTTTAAATACTTTGCATTAAAATACTACCAATAAAATATCGGAATGTAAAAGTTTTACTCACAAGTTATACCTCTGTTATTTATTAGTTATTGAACTTTTTACTTTGTAGACATCGCATCGCCAGTATAGCGGTATAAAGAAATGATAAAAAAGGTAAATGTTAATAGTGAGTTTTCGAATTGTACGAGTATATGCAAAGTTCATAATTTCTACATGTATGTATGATAAATGACTAGAAAAAAATTAAAATAAAATATATAGAGTAAACAATAAAAAGCAAAAAAGTGAAAGAAAAGCGAAGTATTTTTTATTCGAATAGCGATTTAAACAATGCCTAAGTTTAAAACATAATAACTTGATTAATAATTATTGCATAATAATTTTAAAAATATAATTGGAAAGGTAATTTAATGCAGATTATTGTTGCCAAATAGAAATAACGTAAGTTTAGTAGTTTTCACGATATTTGAGTTTGAATAAAACAATAAAATTTGTAACAAAAACAATAAAATCAGGTATAACTATGAAACTACTAGAAATAACCAATTTGTAATTGTTTCTTCTTGTAGGTAATAAATAATACTAAAAAATTACCTATCAACAAATATAAGAAGTATTAATAAAGAAGTATTATAAGAAGTATTTTGTTAAAAATAAATAAAATCTTAAAAATTTGCACTTTTATTTCTATTGTGAGTACACCCTGTATGTACTTTCGCGTCCAATCTATTTATTATCTGTCAAGTCATATATAAAATGCACGTCATGCACACACATGTTTCTATTATTTATTAGTTGAAACTTCCAAACACCTAAAACTTTATGTTGGTGGACGCAGTGGGCACGTGCTGCATAAAAATGCCATGAACCACATTCAAAACACACAAACAAAAAAAAACAGAAGTTTTCTATCAAATAGAAAACAAGAAAATACATTTAAATCAACCAAAACTACATAATACTTAAATTTGTAAATTTGTAGGTTTGTATAAGTTAAGGTGTGATTGTAATCTTTGATTTGTAAAATCGAGTTTAAGTCTACTTAAAGCCAAGTCAACACCAAACACGCACAAAAAACACGCGTAAAACTTGAAAGCTGTAAAATTGGATTGAAAACACGAAAATAAAAGCCGATTTCCTGTTGAGATTCAAATCTGCTAAAACCATATATACAACTAACTAAATCAGATAAATAAACTAATGCATAACAAGATTATAAATAAACATGGCAAATGCAAAGTTTCTACCAAAAGAGATAAAATATAAAAAATATATATTAAGTTTTATAAGTTTTAGTTTGTTGACTGGTTTGGTTTCTAGTCAAAGATTTATCAATCCATAAATCCTTGTATAATTGGCAACCAAATATAGTTTATATTGATTTTAAGTGCTTTTTTATGTTTGTTGTTAATATTCAAATTTTTAAATTCATAAATATCAATAAAATGTTTTTTATATAAAATTTGGCAAAATTTTTAATTTTTATACCAAATTTGAGATTTTGAATGTGTAAAACTTCACTTTTACGCACTAATACAAAAAGTACTTTAAAAAATTAGTATGCAAAATTAAACTTTCGTACTTGCAGATTAATTTTAGTCCAGTGATTAAAATTAAACTTTTTTTTTGCAAAAATCATCATAAAAGTTGTAATTTGTGCACTAGTTCATAAAAGAACATTTTTTCACATTGCTAATGGTCAGTAGGAAGTAAAGTTTTAGTAAAATAACTTAACCAGTATTATATTTAACTTATTGTATACAAAAGTAGCATTTTAACACGAAAAAAATCATTTCTTGATTTAATTAATTGCAAAAATACACATTTTCCAACATTGAGCTTTTAATTCTTGTTAAAATACCATCACAAATATTATAGTTTTTTCATCGTGTCTAAAAGTACAATTTTAAACACTTAACAATGCTTGAAATGTACCTTTTACCACTTGAATTATTAATTCGCAATATTTTATCCAAAATGCCAAACAATTTCTCTTCGTACAATTACCATAAAATATGTAGATTGAATACGAAATATTTTTTCAGAAATACAATAATTATTTTTCATGTAAAGTTTTTTTTTTCATTTTGTCAATACACATGTAAAATCAAAATTTGTCCGCTTGCAAGCTGTCGTTGTAATTTTCTTCCGAATTATAATCACTGTTGTTTTTACATAACTTAACTTAAGTCACTTTAAAACCACCATCTATATTCTTTAGTAGTAATATATACGAGTAGGTATATATAAAACTGTATGAAGTATAAGACTGAAGCAACTCCAGATAATAAACTGATCATCAGAAAAAGTAATCAGAAATAACTGAACAAAATATTTTCAACACCTGTCTACACATACACAAACCTACAATAAAAAACACTATTCACGTTGCGCGGTTCTTGTCGCTCTTGTCTTAATCGACATTCATTCAATTAAGTTTCGACCAACTTTCAATTCATGTACCTCATTAAAATGTGATAATTTAATCTATTTTAATTCTCCGCTCTGAAGGAGAGCTATATAGTATACTCGTACGAGTATAATAGTTGAGTTTTTATAAGTGTGGCTTAAGTTAAGTAAAGTTGAGTTTCACTTAATATAAATTAATTTCTGTGGCTTGAAGAATAAGTGAACTTATAAATCATACAAGTAATAAGTTTTACTCTTTTCATTGTT